CTTGGCTAATTTTTTTGTATTTTTAGTAGAGAAGGGGTTTCACTATACATGCTAGCCATGCTGATCTCGAACTCCTGACCTCAGGTGATCCGCCCACCTTGGCCTCCCAAAGTGCTGGGATTACAGGCCTGAACAACCGTGTCCGGCCAAAGCTTCCTGCTTCCGTTCTTTGCTTCCTGCCCACACTGCCTCCATCTCTCCTTCCGCCCCTCCTCTCCAGTTACTACATCGCCGTCTTTCCTCATCTTGTCCCTGTGTCAGCGGGAAGGTCTGATGCAGCCCCTGGTCCCTTTAACCACTGTGCTATTTGCAGTCCCAAGCCACTCTTCTCTCTGACCTCTGTCTGGTTCACTTTTGCACTATTTCCTGCGCCTCATTCCCAAACACAAGTCTGTGTCTGGCAGGCGGCCTGAAAATTTAACATGGGCTGGCACCCAGCAAAGGCAAATGCCGAGACGCCCTGCCCAGAGCTTCTCACTCATTATTTCCAATTAGAAAATGTCACTAGGGAAGAAAACAAATACCCTCAAAGACAACTCAGTGGGGACTGTGTGTTTGTTGCCTGGAATAGATGCCAAATAAATATTTTATCAAAGGAATTTACATAGTAAAAACTATTTGAGTTGAAAATTATCCAGGAATACTTTCAAAATGAACATGGTGGATTTTTTTGTTGTTGTGTTTTGTTTTTGTAGCATGCATGGATTTGAAGTTTCCCCTGGGAGCTGGCTCTGTTTTTGATGAGCTCAAGGTCTCTTCCAACTCTGTGATGTTGGCTCAAAGGCCAGAGCTTCTGATCCTGGCCCAGCCATTGCTCAATGTGAATCAGCTGACCTCTCTAGACTTTGCCTAATCGAACTAGATCAATAAAATAAACAGAGAAAAAAAAAATCCAAATCATTGTATCTTAGGCTTGGAAGCAACCTTACAGGTTATCCCTAATTAAGGAAGCTGGCTGTTGTGTGTCTCCATCCAGCCCCTCTGGCTTCACTTGACTCACCACTTAGCTGGGACCCCATGGGCATACAGTATTGTCTCCTCTCTGAAGGCAGATGCTGGGTATGGTGACTCAGCCTCTGTCCCAGAGTTGGGACAAGTGTCTAACAGCAGAATTTTCTTCATGTAGAATTAGACACCCTAAATCTTAAAAGGGCATTGTTACCAGGTTGACATGGGACATGAATAGCAAAGTATTTACCAATTTCTTGGTAAGAAGGAAATTGGAAGCGTATATCAAATCATATATCACATCAGATCATATATCAATATTTAGTTGGGTAAATTTATGATTAAACAATGTAATTATCTTCTAGTCTTGCAGATTTATTCTTACCTCCTTCTTTCGTTATCTACATACATTCCTCAATTGTGTAAGCCTTCTGTTCATTTGGGCGGGGTGGATTCTACCAGGCCAAGGAAATCAAAGCCAGGTGTCCTTGACCAGGCAAGCTGAGTGAGCAGCAACCCTTACCAGAGGTTGGTTTGACAAAGTTTACTTGGTTGTGCTGCATATCACACTTTTCTCACATCTGTCCTCAGAACCTCCTGAAGCACAGGGGCAGCCCAGAGGAGCCCTGACTGCAGCCCAGAGAGAAAAATGACTTGCTCCAGTCTGTGGCGAAGCTGGTACCTGAAGCCGAGGTCCCTGAATCCTGTTTGTATGTTTCAATGTTTCTTTCATATATGTATGATGTATTTTTACCTATGGCTAGTGCTGCTTTCAAGAAGGGTGGAGGACTTAGGCACCCCCTCTTAATCTCCGTCAGCATCCCATGCCCCCCAACACACACACCTCCTTCTTTGTCACGAGCATCTGGTGTTTTCTCAGTTGAGGTAAAGTCCTGTGAAAACACGACAATCCAGGTCCCCAAGCCTGCCCGTTCCTAAGTAAATGAAGCTCCTGTGTCCTTCCTAGGTGGAAATTCTGGGATCATCTGCACCTGTGCCTATCTATTCCGTGAGACTATCCACTCCCTCCAAAGGGTAGGAAATAGACCTCTTTCTCTCTGACACCCCCAAAAGATTAATGAGGGCTCTGCACACTTGCAGTGAATATTTGTTACTGCGCCTGCTGCTGCAGTGGCCAGCTATGTTTGGTCCCAATTAAGAAGGCTTATGCTTGTGTGTTTGGAAGTAGGCATTCCTTGCGTTTCATCTCTGATGTAGGCAAGTAGTCAAAAGAGAAGATGGATTTTAATTTTTAATGTCTCATGTCACTTTCCCACTGTATATGTTACGGACTCGCACCTTAGACTGTGGGCTCCTCAAGCAAAGCAATCACATATCAAACATGTAGTTGCTCCCCAGTAAGTGGTTGCCAGGAGAACGACTGAGCATCTGAATACTGCTTCTGATAGCACCTAATAAAAGGGAACACACCTCATCTGAAAAGGTGACTCGGCAGTCAGGCATACTGTCACTTAACAGGGAGTCATCACATGATGCTTTTTGCTGCAGAAGGAGATAAAACAAATGTATCTGCCACACAATGTAAACACGAGGGCAGTCATCACACACCTCCATTCCTTCTGCCTGTCACACGTTAGTGACTTAAAGATACACTTACAAGAAAGGATAGTACATACTTCAGAATTGCAGCGGGTTATCTGCTCAGCTGCACTTCTCTGGGGCCAGTACAACCTCCCCCACCCTTCTGATGCACACACCCCTAGATAGTTCCAGGTGGCCATCGTTTATGCTGTGACCTGCCCAGATTCCTCTCCCAGGAATTTGGAATTTTGGACACAGAGGCACAAAGAAAGGGGCTGTCTGGGGAGGCGGGCCCATTATGATAGCCTCCTGGAGGGAAGCCCACCACCACCTGCTGCTGCAGACCAAGATCAGCAACAGCAATTGCCCATTCTGGGCACAACACAAACACACACAACATGAAAATAGACTCTAGTAAAACGCACACAGACACACACACACACACAGACACACAGAGGGAATCAGAAAACTTGCTAGTCCTCATGAATAAAGATATATAATTTGGACGTGAGTTAAATATTTTTTCTCCATTGCTCTCTGCACTTCTGTGGTATCCTCATGGCTTGTATTTTACTTAATATTTCCAACATTTCTAGAAACCCATGAGTAGACCCATGGAGGGCAAGAATGTGCCTTTTTCACCTTTGTACATCTCACTGGCCTAGCCCACCCCTCACCTCCACGGGCATTCGATGGACACCAATGTAGCTGAATTAAGTTTGATTGACTAGGACAAAAATAATGAATTTGCATGTTTCTAGGGAAAACAATATTAAAACTATTAAACTAAAATTTAATCATTTATCTTTCTTCACATCCAGATATTATTTAGAAACCAGGCAGCCATTAGATAAGTGACTGTGCTTTTTAAAAAAGGGGGGAAACAAAGATGAGAGGGAAGTTCCTGTGGTATATTTCCCATTTCTTCCTTGTCCCAACTCCTGTCCCTTGCCTCTCTTTAGCGCCCTTTCTCTGCCCTTAGCCTCCCTCACCACCTCATATCCCCCACTCCAGGGCTGTGTGCTGTCTGGGGCCCCATGGCAGACACCATGAGTTGTGTCTTACTATGGTAGGACAGGGCACAGAGGGAAACTGGGCGTTGCCATTCTGGAAGCATCACCGAGCAGACTGTCACCAGAGCGCAGCTGCCATTCTGAGCTTTAGAACCAAAGGACATGGCTGAGGAAAGAGCCACAAACCAGCAGGCATCAGAAACGGGTCCCCAAGATGGTGAGCTTGGAGAACAACAAGCAACCCTAAGGAGTCCTTTGACCATTGTTTAGGGCTGAGTAGCCTCCTTGTCAGAAGGGCTTTTTATTTTTTTTTAATTTAATTTAATTTTTTTGAGACAGAATCTTGCTCTGTCACCAGGCGCCAGGCTGGAGTGCAGTGGTGTGATCTCAGCTCACTGCAACCTCTGCCTCCTGGGTTCAAGCACTTCTCCTGCCTCAGCCTCCTCAGGAGCTGGTACTACAGGTGCTCACCACCACGCTTGGCTAATTTTTTGTGTTTTTAGTGGAGATCGGGTTTCGCCATGTTGGCCAGGCTGGTCTCAAACTCCTGACCCTAAGTGATCCACCCGCCTTGGCCTCCCAAAGTGCTGGGATTAAAGGCATGAGCCACCATGCCCAACCGGAAGGGGCTTTTTATAGTGATTTACTGATCACTGAATTTGCCACCTAAAAACATTCCAGAGGTATGGGTGATGATTTTGGTGAGATGGGAAGAGGTTCTGAGTCAAGAGCAGCTGTCTTATGCCCAGAGCAGTCAAGACTGTCACTGCAGCACCAGGTGTCCCCCAGCCACTCCTTCCTGTCCTGCCCTCCTGGCTGCCTTACCCCAGAAGGTAGCTGTGGGGTGTTGCCTGAGATGTGGCTGTGGATGCAACTGAAGACCACGGACATTCAAATGCCTTCCCTGCTGGCAGCTTAGAAAGTGCTGGACAAAGGAGAGGGAGATGTTACCAGACACATTTTTTAGAAATCTGTAAACCTGTATTTGCTTACATGCTACACTAAATATTGTATACAATGAAGGGGGTCTTGCACTTTGAGGGGCTTCCATTCATGTTTCAGAATGTTAGTGACAAGAAAATGTATTCTTATATTCTCTTCTCTTTCCATGCCTATAATATATCTTGGAAAGTAAGCAATTGGCGTGTTTTAATACTGCAGACCTATTAAAAATAATTGAAATATATCTTTTGATTATTTTCTTTTGTTTAATTTTTTTTCTTTTTTTTTTTTTTTGAGACAAGGTCGTGCTCTTTGACCCAGGCTGGAGTGCAGTGGTGCAATTTCGGCTCACTGCAGCCTTGATCTCCTGGGCTCAAGCAATCCTCCTGCCTTAGCCTCCTGAGCATCTGGGATTACAGGAGTTCACCACCACATCTGGCTAATTTTTCTTTTCTTTCTTTCTTTTTTTGTAGAGATGGGACCTCAATATGTTGCTCAGGCTGGTCTCATACTCCTAGGCTCAAGAGATCTCCCTTCCTTGGCCTCCCAAAGTTCTGAGATTATAGGCACGAACCACTGCACCCAGCCTATTTTCTTGACGTAAGTACAGGTATTGATCGACTTACGACCTATGCAACTTACGACCATTTGACTTTACGACCACAATCGCTAGCCACGACTGCTCCACGTCTGGCAGTGCAAACATTGCCCAGCTGGGCATACGACAGTGCGGACCAGCTTCCGGCAGCACGACTATCTCCACGTGCACTAATTCAACTGTACATATTGCCTACTCAACTTATGACCAAATCGTGTTACGACCGGTCCGCAGTCCCGACCGTGGTCGTAAGTCGAGCACTAGCTGTAATACATGTACCATTTAGAAAGAAGAACCCTATTGATATTGCTATAGACATTCTTACATATGTGCCTTTACATGAAAATATATAGTTTTAAAAATAGATATCATAATCATAATGTTTTGAAACTTTATTTTACTCAAAAATATATCATGAATATAGTTCAATGACAGTCAACAGATGTACATCATCATAATCAATCTTAATATTACATAGTTTTCTATTTTATGGGGTTAGTGTAATTTGGTCAATTTCTATTGTAAGACTTTAGATTGTTTCTAATTTTTGTCTAAATAAACCACATTTGAGATATATATATATATATATATNTTGAGACGGAAGCTTGTGTTGTGTCCTGGATGGAGTGCAATGGCGTGATCTCAGCTCATTGCAAACTCCGCCTCCCAGATTCAAGCGATTCTCCTGCTTCAGCCTCCCAAGTAGCTGGAATTACAGGAGCGTGCCACCAGGCCTGGCTAATTTTTTTTTTTTTTTGAGACAGAGTCTCGCTCTGTCGCCAGGCACCAGGCTGGAGTGCAGTGGCGCAATCCCGGCTCACTGCAACCTCCGCCTCCCGGGTTCAAGCAATTCTGCTGCCTCAGCCTCCCAAGTAGCTGGGACTACAGGCATGCACCACCATGCCCAGCTAATTTTTGTATTTTTTTTTAGTAGAGATGGGGTTTCACCATGTTGGCCAGGATGGTCTCAATCTCTTGACCTCCTGATCCGCCCGCCTCAGCCTCCCAAAGTGCTGGGATTACAGGCATGAGCCACCTTGCCTGGCCAAATTTTCATATTTTTAATAGAGACGGAATTTCACCATGTTGGCCAGGCTGGTCTCGATCTCTTGACCTCGTGATTTGCCCGCCTTGGCCTCCCAAAGTGCTGGGATTACAGGTGTGAGCCACCATGCCTGGTTGATAAATATATTTTTATAATACTTCTGTTTTCTTGTCTGATCACTGTTTTAGGAAAATTTCTTAGACGTATAATCTTTACATGATTTTTAACTCATAGCCACTCTTTCATCTAGAAAAACTCTACCAATTTATATTTCACCCCATCCCCAACAGGAATGGTATAAAAGCCTATTTAAAATAATTTAAATTTTTTAAATTAAATATTAAATGCATAAAATATTTCTAATGTGAGGGACATAAAGAATACTCAAACATCTGTGAACCCATCATCTAGCTTAAGAGCTAGACTATCACTAGTCTTCTAGAAGCCCCACTGTGCCCTCCGACCCCATCCCTGCACTCCTCCTCCCCAGAAGAATCCACGTTCCTAAACTGTGTCTACCAGTTCCTTGCTTTTAGTTAGTTTCGCCACATTTGCTTGTATCCTTTAACAATATGTGCCTTTATTCTGCATATTTTTTCTTTATATGAATTAAAATTTATATGTATTGTTTTATAACTTGCTTTTAAAAACTGTAAATGAACTATGTCACACATACAGAGAAGTGCATGTATCTTAAGTGTTCAACTTGGTACATTTTCCAAGTAAGCACACGCCTGGATCAAGACTCAAAACATTACTAGCACCCCAGAAACCCTCTTAACTCCCTCCAAGTTACTGTCTGTCTCTGAAAGGAACCACTGTTCTGACTTCTAACACCGTACAATTTGTATAAGTGGAATTAGAGTGACTGACTTCACACATTCAACTTTATGTTCATGCCTCTTGCTACATGTCGGTACAATTCACTCATTTTTACCATGTATAGTGCTCAATTATACAAATATGTAATTTATATATCTACTTATCTATCAATGGATATTTGGGTTTCTTCCAGCATTTACTCTTATAAACAGGGGTGGTCTAAGCATTCTCTTATGTGTCTTCTTATGCCCAGATGCAAAGGTTTCTTTAGGAGAAACTAGGAATGGAATTGCAGAGTTATAGAATATAATTAGTGTTCGCTTCAGAAGTAATTTCCAACATGAACTCACCACTTACCACTAAAAAAAATGGCCAATCTAATAGGTAAAAATTAAATTCTTTGCTTAAATTTGCATTTTTAAATTATATTTATTTCATTATTACTTTTTTTTTTTTTTTTTTTGAGAAAAAGTCGTGCTCTGTTGCCTGTGTAGTGCAGTGGTTATTCACAGGTGATTTTTGTGCATTACAGCTTTTAACACCTGGGCTTAAGCAATTCCTCCCATCTCAGCCTCCTGAGTAGCTGGGACCACAGGCAGGCCCACTGCACATAACTACATTATTATTATTATTATTTTTAGCTGTTCATTAGCCATTTGTATTTTTTCTTTTGTGGATTATCTGTGTGCTTGGTCTAATTTTCTGTGCTGGTTACTGGTCTTTTTGTTAATGATTTGTAAACACTTTTATATATTAAAGCTATTACTCTGACATCTATTATGAATGCTGCAAATATATTCCCTATAATTTTTCTATCTTGTAGTTTGGCTTATCATGCTTTTTGCCATTTAAAGTTTTATTTCTTTCCCCTGGGATGTGCAAACTCCAGAAAAAAATGGGGCCAGTGCTTCCCCATTTCAAGTTTTAAACTAAAATTTTTGTGCAATTAGTGCCTTCACTCTTTTTTTCTTAGAGGCTCTGCCCTTTGTGCTGTTGGAAGCAGTTTTAAACATGCTTTTCTACTACAGGATGATGCATTTGTTAAGGTGACTTTTTATTTTTCATATTCATAGAGCAACTGGTTTTCCCAAGTTACTGTCCAGAGATAGCAATGGCTGGGTCAGGGTGTGACCCAGATGACATTTCTGCTATGCAGATTTTAGAAGCAAAAGTGATGATGCAGCTTCCATTATCTGGAGATCTGTTTTCATCACACAGAGAATGAGAAGTGAATTGAGTTGTGTGCTAAGGCCAGTTCTCTGCTTCTTATGCAAAGGATGTGAAAATAATGGTTCTTTCTTCCTAGAACCCAGCAGGTAGGCTGGGCTCATTACAACAGGGAAATTTCGCCAAAGCAAGAACACCTGAGGGACAAAACTGGCCTGCCAGACCAACCAAATGAACTCTCCAGCAATTGCCTGGCATGGGCTCCCCTCCCACAGGGTTTGCTGATTGCTCAGGCTTTTATAATTCTTGAGCCCTGTTCCAAGGAGCTTTTGTGGTTTAAATCAATATGCTTCTGGGAATAAGTGCCCTTATTATTTCCTCGTTCACATTATTTGCTGTGCTCTTATACTACCCTGACATAATACTCTTTGTGCTGCAGTACAATAACAGTCCTTTCAGGAATCTGTAAGAGCTTTCTAATTAGAACCTACAACCTCACAACAGATGGAGAATATGAAGCCCAGAGACAGGGATGATGAAGCTTCACCTTGGTCACAAAGGAGCCAAGCTTCAGTGCCCAGGTTACGTTGCTTATCTAGCAGTGATTGCAGAATTATAAGTGCTTCAGTGCATATGAAGCAAAATGGCTTAGGGGCACCTGCTGTTGAGTTGAGAACTGAGAACTAGCCTATGCCATTTCTAGCCACACCCAGGAATTGGTTGGACAATAGCTCTTGTGTTTACAACCAGTTCTCAGTGACAAGGCTCAGACCAGAAACTGCATGAAGGCTAGGTCATTTGAAACCAAATTTTGCATTCGATAGTTAAACTTTCTTGATTGCCTACCATGTACTAGCCACCATATTGAACACCAGTAAGGCAAAGACGAACCCCCAATCCCTCCCTTTAAATATTTACAGTCTAGAAGAGGAGACAGATATGTAAGCAGAAAGTTATAAAGTTATAAGAAGCCAAGTGCTTTACTAGAGACCAGAACAGAAGGCGAGGGTAGTCCTCAGCCCTGGGGCCTTCAGGGTATTCTTCCTGCTTCCTGGAGAGGAGGACTTTTGACTTGGGTAAATCTTAGGAGACGGGCTGGAGCTTGCTGGGCAGAGCTGGGGAAGTGCATTGCATGCTGAGAGCCAAGCACAGAGAAAGGCCCAGAGATGGGCAATGTACAGGGGTTCGGGGAGCAACGAGAAAGTCAGCATGTCCAAAGTGGCCATGGTCATCCCACTGTTGTTTCTCTTGTCGATTGTTACAGCAAAAATCTCTCTTTCTATGCTCAGTATTTTATTTCAGATGTTGAAAAAGCTGAACATTGGTTTTGTCTTTGTCTTGTTACTTTAACACTCCATTTCTCCTCAGGGCCTTGTGGGGTGCCTCTGAGGGAGAAGATCATGTCTTTCCTGAAAAAAGAGCACAAAGATGAATATCTCACTGCAGTGTGAAGACACAAGAGCAGTTCAGGGAATTTAGGGCAGGAACCCCGCTGGGCCTTCTTTTACCATCTTTAGAGCAGAAAACATAGCCTTGGAAAGCTTCCAAGGTTACCTGTCACAGGTCCGGCCACCTAGTAGGAGGTCCTGTGGTCCAAAGCTTGTTGCAGAATCCATAGATGAAAAGACATGAGGACTAGGGGTGTGAGGGGAAAACACAAGCTAACAGATGGCCCACGCAAGAACAGAAGCCTCAGGTGTGAGCTTCATAGCTTGCTCTGGAATCTGCAGTGGTGGGAAACTGAAGGCCACCTCTGGCTTCCTTTTTTTTTTTTTTTTTTGAGACGGAGTCTTGCTCTGTTGCCCAGGCTGGAGTGCCGCGGCAGGATCTCAGCTCACTGCAACGTCCGCCTCCCGGGTTCAACTGATTATCCTACCTCAACCTCCCGAGTAGCTGGGATTACAGGCATCCGCCACCACACCCGACTAATTTTTGTATTTTTAGTAGAAACTGGGTTTCACCATATTGGCCAGGCTGGTCTCAAACTCCTGACCTCAGATGATCCACCAGCCTCCCAAAGTGCTGAGATTATAGATTATAGATGTGAGCCGCCACACCCAGCCTCTTTGTGTTTCTTTTCCCTCATGTCTTCCTTGCTCACTCCACATTCCACAAGGTCTTCCAGGTTTCATCTACCTCCTTAGTCAATGCAGATAATGTGTGCCCTGCTCAAGTCTCCTTCAGTGCCACTTTGCCACCTCAGCTAGATCTTGGCACCATGGACACTCACTGAGCACCCTAACATAGGTGACAACATCTGGAAGCTTCCTTAGGGCAGGGACTCTGTACCTCCTACACATGTACATAATGCCTTGCACATAGTAGATATTCCAGGAAAAAGAAGGGCCAAGAGAGAGGAAGGATGAACAGGAAAGAACCTAGCTAGAAACTACAACCCCAGCCATCCAAAGCAACAACATATTCTAAATTCTGACCAAGAGGAGGCTGCTGCTGGAGGAGGGTAAGAATAACTAGGAGGAAAGAGATAGATAGGTACTCTTAAAAAAAAAAAAATTTCTTGCAAATATAAGTCACTGCCCACTCCCTCCTACCTCAGCCCTCAGTTCAGAGCCTCAGCTGCACTCGAGAACCACAGTGGGCCTCTGTGATACTAGCAGGCCCTACTCCAACCACTCCACTGCTCAGAGCTCAGACATCTTGCCTCTCTGCCTCGCTCTCTCCGAGGTGAACATCTGGGATGACCAGCAGGCAGATCAGCTAGGACTGCTTTACACCAGGGTGACAAGCAGGGCTGGAGGCCAGAGAATAGCCAGGGAGCTGCTGGAAGGCATGGGGCAGTGGAGGGAGCTTGGTGCTCCCGAAAGGAAATGGTAACATTAGCCTGGATTTGTCCACAGTGATTCCAACCTGAGGGCCATGCAGCTTGACTGCTTCACACAGATGGAATGGGAAATGAGCTATGGAGGAATCCTGAGTATTATGCCTGGCTGGCGATCAGAACAGGGAAGGATGAACAGGTTTTTCAGGGATGGAGGGAAGAGTGGCTCACGCCTGTAATCCCAGTGCTTTGGGAAGCCAACGTGGGCAGATCACGAGGTCAGGAGTTCAAGACGAGCCTGGCCAACATGGTGAAAGCCCGTCTCTACTAAAAATACAAAAAATTTAGCTGGGCACGGTGGCTGGTGCCTGTAACCCCAGCTACTCAGGAGGCTGAGACAGGAGAATTGCTTGAATCCAGAAGGTGGAGGTTGCAGTGAGCTGAGACCATGCTACTGTACTCCAGCCTGGGCAACAGAGTGAGACTCTGTCTCAAAAACAAACAAACAAAAATAGGGCCAGGAGGTCATAGAGTCCATTCCTCTGCCTCCAGAGAGGTTCTTGGCAAATGCACTCCTATAATTGAGCGGGCTTCCTGTCTTAAGGCCCTTCAGAAGCACCCATGAAGCCTGAATGCCTCCTTTTTTCAGTATGTAATTGTTTCCAGAGTTCACCAAGTTCTTTCTTATACCTAACCTAAACTTTTTACTTACATGAAGCAAGCTGCCTTGCTTCTTGCTCTGTTTTGGGGGGTGGCAAACCCTCTAAAACTTTGTCAGTAGGTCAAGAGTTCTGATCAGTTGGGTATGAAGCACCCATGAACCATGGGGCTTATGTCCAATAGATTTGATGGTGCAAACTAACTTTGGATATAAGCCCATTTATTTTGCACTTGACCAAGTAAGTCTCAGAAAGAATGACAGGATGTCTGGGTCAGCTCACTGCACTGGTGATACTTCTCCCATATCTTCCTGGCACACCCCTGGTCCCTCTCCCACTTTCCCAGGAACCAAGACTTCTGCTGACAGGGAAGGCTGAGATGGAAATACCCTCCTCCCAACAGAAAAGGATACATTCCTCTTGAGTCTAAGAGCTTTTAGTCCCTTCTAGGTCCTCATATGACCTGGAACATCATCCTTCTTTAAGGCAGAGATGACCTGAAATATCACTGTTGTGTAGGGCTGAAGTCCCTGTCCCAGCTGCTCTCTGGGCCACTGGGCCAGGTTGGCCAATCCACCACTGAGGAGGAAGGTAACTAACATCTGCTGGGCACCTGCCAGGCACCAGGCTTTGTGCATGTTATCACATTTAATCTTCACAAGTCTTCAACAGGGTAACTATGAGCCCCGTTTCACAGATGAAGAAGCCAAGGCTCAGAGAGATGTGATGAGAAGAAACAGAGACTTGGAGAATAGCCGGGTGGCTGATATGGGGTGTGGGGCAGCGAAGAGAGCTGTTTGTTCCCATTAACAGGACCTGATAACATTAGCCACCATTTGTCCACATTTCAGCCAACCCCAGGCTCAGGCAGCTGAATGTACACAATACTGGTTACAGAGAAATACAAAGGATCATGCTTGGTTAGACCAATCAGGGCCAGGGTGTTTCTGCAGGGTCTGGAGGGACAGATGGGTTTTTCAATGTGGAATAGTTCATGTCAGGAGACACTCAATTCTGACTGGAGCTATTTCCCTCTGACCAAAGTTTTATGGGAGTTTCCCATCTTCCCCAACAGCAGAGAATTGAAGCAGGTTTAAGATTGCAGTGAGAGGCTGAGATGGGAGGATCGCTTGAACCGAGGTTGAGGCCACAGCGAGGTGTGATTGCACCGTTACAATATAGCCTGGGGAGCAGACCCATCTCATTTTTTAAAAGTAAAAATTAAAAGATTGCAATGAGTGGTGGTTTAGGTTGGATGTAAAGGAAAACTCAGTGGGTTGCGAGTGAGCCTTTCTGAGGGGCTACACAGGGAACCGCAGTGGCTCTGACCTGGGGAGTCCTGTCCAAACCCATTCGTTTCTCCTTTCACTGGAGAACATGACCAGCCATGTAAGGAAGCTCAGGCTCACCCTACATAGTCAGGGTCAGAATGGGTTTCTCA